TCAATAGCGGCCTTCAGCTCTTCTGCATTGTTCCGTCTCATATCTTTCTCTTTTCTTTTAAGTTGCATTAGTGAAATAAATGAACTTTTGCACGATATTCTAATTATTTGAGTTTTACCTGTGTGTGTGTGTGTGTGTATGTGTATATATATCTATATCTATACAGTATATATCTGTATCCTGGTCCTGAAGTGGTTATACCAACATCATGGCCACTGCTTGGTATCGTTCCCAGGTCCCCCAGAGGAGCAGGAGACCTCGAAAACCACAGTGACGCAGTACACCTATGCAGACTGTACAGCCACGCAGATCACCTGTACAAAAAGAGAATAGCCGGCTGAAAAAAGATCATGGTTGCATGGTATAACCACTTCAAGACCAGGACATACAGGTACGTCCTAATGTCCTGAAGTGGTTAAAGTGAGCACTAACATCCTCCTGTGACCCAAAACTCAACAAATAGCGGGCTATTGCCAACTTTTTGCTGACAGCGCAGAGCCGCGCTGCGGCCGGGACAGATCCCGACAATATTGTTGGCATCCACCCTGCTACCGGACAGCTGGCTCTGCCTCTCTAGAGCCAGAGCCAGCTGTGTCGGCCCATTCCCGTCTGTCCCTCCAATCAGGTCTGGAGGAACACAGACGGAAGAGGGAAATCCCTGCTGAGGAGCCGTGACTGCTAGTCACGGCTCTTTGCAGGGAGAAGATTAGGAACTGAGCGATCAGCAATATGTGATCACTCAGTTCTCGATCTATACAGCCGAAGTGTGGCAGCTTCAGTGTCACACGTCGGCTCTAACTATGGGGAAGAGTGCCACTCTCCCCATAGTGCTCCTTTAAGTAATGAAAAAATGATTGCTGAATGAACAGTAAGATAGCAGAAATGTAAAAACTGCTCTGGTCCATTGAGGGGGTGTTCAGATATGCGAGATGAAGTGGCTAAAGTGGATCTAGCATCAGATATATATTGTATGTCTATGTGCATAAATGCCAAGTACTATAATGTGTCAGTGTAACAATTCCAGTTGATTGGCCCTAAATTTATTCTGCAGCAGGACAATGACCCCAAACATACAGCCAATGACATTAAGAACTATCATCAGCATGAAGAACAACAAGGCATCCTGGAAGTGATGGTTGGGCCCGCACAGAGCCCTGATAGCAGCATCATGGAGTCTGTCTGGGATTACAGGAAGAGACGGAAGGATCTGAGGAGCCGACATCCAGAGAAGATCTGAGCTTAGTTCTGTGAGATGTACCCAGAACAACCTGCCTGCCGAGTTCCTTCATACACTGTGTGCAAGTGTACCTAGAAGGTGGCAAAGGGTGCGCACCCCAAATATTGATTGAAAGAAGGCAAAGGGTGCTCACCCAAAATATTGATTGAAAGAAGGCAAAGGGTGCTCACCCCAAATATTGATTGAAAGAAGGCAAAGGGGAGTCACCCCAAATATTGATTGAAAGAAGGCAAAGGTGGGTCACCCCAAATATTGATTGGAAGAAAGCAAAGGGAAGTCACCCCAAATATTGATTGGAAGAAGGCAAAGGTGGGTCACCCTAAATATTGATTGGAAGAAAGCAAAGGGGGGTCACCCCAAATATTGATTGGAAGAAGGCAAAGGGGGGTCAGCCCAAATATTGATTGGATTTAGATTTCTCTTCATTTACTTTCCATTTTGTTCAATGATAAAAAACAACAACTATTTAACACATTTATTTTCAGTTCTCTCACCTTTACTGACGCTGCTTTGCGGCAGGATCAGGGACTTGTTCCCGTTCAGTTCCGCTACTTTCCTCCCCGAGTGTGTTCCGTTCAGGCTGCGCACTTTCTTGCTGTTGTTACTGGATGGCGGAGTCGGAAGTCCTACCGATGAAGGCCCCATGGGGCTGTAAGAAACGAGAGGATTAAAGCTGACATTGAATCTGTTTATATTTTGCTTCCTCGTTCCTCCCTTCTCCACTTTATCAACGTGCTAATGAGATTTTAAAATATAATTATTTTAGACCCAATGATAGTGTTTCTCTATGCAATGCAGGCAGATTATGGCTGGTAGGAGGGAGATTCCAGAAAACAGACCTAGATAAACAACCATATGTGATGCTGAGCCTCCGTGATTGACAGAACAGAAATCCAGTGAATGAAAGGGGCGGGGTCAGCAACAGTCAGGCTGGGGAGGAAAAGGCAAGAGCAGGGGTGGGCAAACACCGGCCCTCCAACTGTGGTGCAACTACAAATCCCATTAGGCATTGCAAGACTATTATAGCCACAGGAATGACTCCCAGAGGCAGATGCATGAAGGGATTTGTAGTTTCCCCACAGCTGGAGGGCTGTCATTACCCGCCGCCCGGCTTCCTCAATGGCCGGGAAGCCGGCTCCATGCTGTTTGTTCATTCAAAATAGTGAGGGATCAGTAAATATAAGACATTTACTGATCCTCTACTCGCCATCCTAAACCAGCCCCACACTGCGCTTGATCCTCCCCGCTGGGCACCAGCAGTATGCTACCCTACACAACCTGCTGTGTCTGCCGGTACGAGGTAGAGGGAAAGCAGTTCACCATTTACCCCAACTATAAATGAACACTGGAGTAACCAGTACTGACCACTCCAGAGTTCATTCAGGATAGTGAAAGATCAGCAAATATAAAAACATTGAATGATCTTCCGCTTGCCATCCTGAACCTGTCCCACACTGCCGCTTTATCCTCCCCATAGGGCACCAGCAGTATGCTCACCTACAGAACGTGCCGTCTCTGCCAATAAGCGGCAGAGAGAGAGCAATAGGGATCAGAGAGGACACAAAGAACACAGAGGGGAGCAGATTACCGGCACACAGCAAGGAGAATCATTGATAGGCAAGGACAGCGGTAGTGAAAGGGTGGGGCGGTGGTGAAAGGGTGGGGCGGTGGTGAAAGGCCTATCTAGAGGCAGAGCCAGCTGTACCCGCGCCCCCTCCCCTGTCCGTTCCTCCACTCAGTGCTAGAAGATCAGAGAGGGGAGGGAATCCCTGCAGGGAGCGGTGACTGACAGTCACGGCTCTCTGCAGGGAGATTATCGAGAAGTGAGTGAACAGCGATATGTGTTCCCTCACTTCCCGATCTATAGAGCCGACCTGTGACAGTCTCATTGTCACACGTCGGCTCAAACTATGAGGCTTAGTGATTTTCACTCGCCTCATAATTCTCCTTTAAGGTTTCAGTGCAGAATAAAGGTTGGTAAATAGAACCTTTTCATAGAGATCTGCACATCAGCCCAAAAACAGGGACAGCTAAGAAAAGAGGGACAGAGGGATTTGGTTCCGACCGAGGAACAGTTAGGAGGAAGAGACTTCTTGTGAGGGAATCACATCCCTTACAGGGTACATCACTCCCCTTAGAAAGCAGCCTCATCGCTCCCTACTAATGCTGGCGAACCGGCTCTACAAGATGGCGTATGGATAACATGAGATATGGATATAGTAAAATGTACCACAGATTATAAAGCATGCGTGAACAATTTTCAGAGTGTTTGAATAAAAAAAGGCTTTTAACTTTTCTTGGAAATATCCCTTAATGTTCACAGGGCGAGATGTCCCCGTGTGCTGAACTGAGCCGCTATCTGAAGACAGCAGACACGGTGCGGAAAAGGTAAAAGGAGAAGAAAAAAGAAGCACACAGATTGCTCCTATTACTCAAAACAGCCATAAAAAAAACCACACACACACACACAATCGCTGCAAAACACCTCCACGTTGTGAATAATTTAGAGCAGAGTTTGGTGCAATTTGAATTTTTCTTCAGGGATGGGAAGTTAAATACCTTTAATTTGTTCTAATTATTTCAAATTTGCAAGTTAATTATGGCTGATCATTAAACAACAGAAAGGACTGCGGTCTCCTCGGAGCTTTACCTTCCACCCCTCGCATTACTTAAGCTACATCTTCGCATGCATGAATTAACTTTCTAAATAATCGCGCGCTTTGGCTAAATGGTCCTGGAAAATGAGAGCCGACGTGCGGGGAAAGGCGTTAATGGACATTACAAAAGGCCGCTGGGAGCGATGGTAGGCGCAATCACGGGGCTTCTAATGGGGTCTTATTTACAAATCTTTAGGCTGGGGCCCGGTGCAACTGCATTAAAACGCTTCTTTATGAAGGAGCAGCCACTTCTCGCAGACAATAAAAAGCAAAACGTCCATTCGGAGACAGCTAAATCCACTTCAAAGACAAAGTTGCCTGAAAATTAAACTTGGGCTGAAAGAGCTGTGCTAGCTCGTCGGCGGATGATGCTAGACTGGGTCTGGCGGGCGGCCGGGGCAAACCTACAGCGGGTAATTTGTGGCTTGTCTAAATCTCTGGAGCTCCGAGTCCAGGTGGCCAATCGCTACCTTTCACAACAAAAAACATTAGACAAACTTGGTATAAATTATAAAGTGCATTCAATCCCCTGCAGAGATAAGGGAGGATTTTAGCTCTTCTGAGCCCACCTTGCCACCAGTGCACAGGGGGGCCCGGCCAGGGCATCCCTCTGATGCCGTGTGGGCCGCCTGGGTCGCTATGGTGTCTCGGGTGCTGGCTGTCACTGACATAGCTCAGCAGCAGCTGTGAAGGAGAACGTTACTCCTCACAGCCGCTGCGGAGCTGTGTCAGTGACAGCCAGCAGATGCTGCAGAATAGGCCGGTTACACCGGCGGTTTCAGTAAAGAAGGAGGCGGGCCCGCCTAACAGCAACCCCGCCTCCTCTCACATCACTGGCCAACGATCTAAGAGCAGGTGGGGCCAGTGATGTAAGAGGAGGCGGGGCCAGTCGATAGGACGCGGAGCCCGGGGACGGAAGAGGAGGCAGGGGCCCGGCGGCGGCGACCACGGAGGTGGACAACGCTGACAGGTAAGAGGCGTGCAGCCCAAATGAGACCTTGCAGAGCCCACCATAGAGTCTATGGTGGGCTCTGCAAGTGGCATAACTAGCAATCAAGGGGCCCCATACAAAATTTTGCTATGGGGCCCTGTGATTTCTAGTTACGCCCCTGCTTGCCATATTAGTTGTTGTTTCATGCAATTTCTATATCTTACATGTCGTAGGCAAATGTATATAATAATGTCCTGTGCAAATCAGTTGTATTTGTGCTAAAGAAGCCATTCACACGCCCATGCAGAGACCCGACACCAGGAGGGACAGGCGTGCATGTAAAAGCCTATACTTCACTATGGAGGATGCGGCTCCACACGGTTACACTGCTTGGTCATGCACGCCTGTGTGAATGGCCCCTTAAGCTGAAAGAAGGTCAACTCTAGTCCCCCCCCAAAAAAAAAATAGGGACTAGTCTTTTTGGTTTTTGACATCTTCTTACTGTCGATTAGGGAGGAGCTTAGGTTTGGACTAAACCAGAGCTCCCCCGAACAAGGCACTTTCACCCAATCAGCTGTAGGCTGGGCATTCCCCACCCCACACTGGCATGTAAACAAAGGGGCAGGATGCTTGTGCTGATGTAATTTACCTCATATGGCCACATAGCCATATTTAGTCTTTATCATTTATGAAATACAGATCTGTAACCATAGAAAGGTCAGTCACGTCACTGCACCCCGGCACTTTACCTACGTCAAGCTGTGGGCGAGGAATTCCCCACCCGCAGCTGATTGAGCGGCAGGGAAGGAGGCCAGGTACGGAGGAGCTTGGGTTTAGATCAGGTTTGGCTCAACTCTACTGCTGACGATTTGAATATATAGCTTGCTGGTTTAAAACTGGGCCATGATGGGTCCTCTTTTTTGCAATAAGGACTCGTTCACACCATGTGCAGAGACTTACATTTGTATTGAACAGGTGCAGAAAAATGGAACAGGTGCCTTTATACAGGTGTATTTGCCCGAAGTTCATCCCTGAAAAGACCTCCACGCCTTCATGGAAGACTTGCTCACATACTTATCACACATCAAATTGAAAGGATCCTGTGTGGACAGGAAAATGGCATTCTCTACTGGCAACGTTTTTAAAATTTCAGATCAAGGGCATATTCAATGCTATGTGCTGTGGCATGTTGACAAACGCACATTACTGCATTTATAGACGGCACTCGTCCTTTCGCACTGTTTCTTCTGGTGCACTGCAATACAACCCATGCTATGTGCTTGTGGTGCACTGCAACGTAGCTGTGGTAGGGTGGCATTCAAACTGAATGGAATATTACATTGAAGGAGAAAGTTAGGTAGGATTTTTAAACACATAAAGAGGTAAACAGCATTTTGTAAATGTATTCTATGCAACTTATGTTATGCTATGTGAATGCGAACATGCTACAAATACAAAGTGGGCGTTATCCCAGTGTGGCTGCAAACCTGGAAATATACTTTAAAGCCTTGGTTCCCAACTGGTGGGTCGTGACCCAAAAGTGGGTCGCGACCCCACGTTCAGTGGGTCACCGGATGCTTTCCACTTTTATAGGTGAATGACTCCTCAGCCTCCCCCCTAGCTCAGCACTGTCAGTTTTCACACCAAGCAGCCATTCAAAATATGCTGCCCGGTGCCGAGCGTCAGCTTGAGGTGGGCTGGGGCTATGGCCGCGAGGGAGCTCCATCCATACGTGCATTGCTTACAGCTCCCCCACATGTGCCCTGTAGAGGTGCCTGCACCGGAGTGACATCACGTTCTGGCTCCCGACACCTCTACAGGGCGTGCAAGGGAGCTGTACAAGCAATGCATCTATGGATGAAGCTCGGTCACAGCAAAGCAGCCCACACTGGACCCCAGGCTGAGGATCCACTCCAGTTCTCGTAAATTAGGGAGACTGGGTGGATCTTAAAATGCGAACAAAAAAAAAATGTTTTGGGGCGTGTGTATTTATTTGTGAGATTGTGTCTGTAGTCGTGTGAGTCTGTCAGTGTTTTTGAGGGCCCGTTCACACTAGTACAC